GGTCTCTATTATAATTATTTTGCCTCACCAACCACATTTACAGTTCAGGGAGAAATCCACTGTATCAACCCACTGTAAAATTCTGATTAAATTGTGAATAGTCTTCTCTCGTAGCAAAATATGCCACCCACTTTTTGTTTATCCTCAAAAATAAAAGACGGCACTCCAAGCACTGTTTTCCTAAATGTGACCCAGACAGAGTCCTTCTTAACCGAAAAACCCTCTATTGTGCTCTGGTCCAGAATGGGGAATTTTCCCAGTTTTGAAGCAGGGAAAGTAAAGTCCTGGTTATCTTGGAAATCAGAGAAGAGCAGCGTCCAGTAACACATTGAATCAGGCATCCAGAATTCACCTCCTTGGCCTGTTGGTATAGAATGCGACCATAGTACGGAAAGGAGGACTCTGAGGACTGAAACAGAGAGCATGTATTATGCTCTGTTTGGCTCCCAAGTGTCCCTTCAATGGCCTGGTCACTAACAGGTAGCAGCTGGTGGTGTCCATGGGGCTGTATTCAAGTTGGACCTGGGGAGCCTGTGGGAGTGTGGAGGCCACTTTGCTGTGCTGTGCTGTGCTGAGCTGTATTGTGCTGGGTTGTGCTGGGTTGTGCTGGGCTGTACACTGCTGGCCTGTGCAGCTCCCGGCCTAGGTTCTCTCTGTATTGTTACCCAATATTTCCTATTATGGTTTGGATCTGAAGCTTCCCCCAGGAGGCTCATGTGTTTGCAAGGTGATTAGATAACTAGATAATGGGAACACAGTACATTTATATCACAGTGAGCTCCATGGCTGCATGTGGTTTTGAGAGTTGGGGACTGCATGCGGTTGGATTTTTGTTTCTATGACCTGGAAGGGTGCATTCTCCTCTCCACCGTCTCCAGCCTCTGTCTCTGTCTCTGTCTCTGTCTCTGTCTCTGTCTCTATCTCTGTCTCTCTGCCTCTCTCTCTCTGTCTCTCTCTCTCTGTCTCTGTCTCTCTCTCTCTCTCTCTCTCTCTCTCTCTCTCTCTCTCCTTCCTGGCTGTCTCTGGTTGAACAACTTTCTGCTACCATGTCCCTTCACCATGCAGCTCTGAATGGAGACACTTGAGTTTGGACTGGAATCACTGGCAACGCTGTGAAAAACAAGCCTCCCTTCCTTGATGCTGATGGAAACTTGAGTTTTTTTTCTCAGCAATGGGAAGGTAGAAAATATGTACTTTTTCCTGACCAGGTTGATAACAGGTGTCTCAGTGCCACTTTCTTTGAAGGATCTAAGTCATAGAAGTCCACAGGTTTTATAGGATCTATGGGACCACAACAGTGCAGATTTATGGAACAGCACACTTGGGACCCTCACAAGACCATTTCTACCCAGGGAAGACAGCCCATTAGCAGTGGCTGGTAATATCAAGCCTTTTAAGTGGAGATCTGGTGACTATCTCCTTATGGAAATATCACAGACTCCATTTTCTCTTATGGTCACTGTCATCCTGTGGGGAGTACTGTTGATGAGCACACCTAGGTCAGCCCCATGTTAGTCTCAAGCACTTATGCCCAGAAGGATGTGGTAACTACTCACTTTTTCTGTTAGTACATTTCTGAAAACCTTATATTCAGATAATCTGCTTCCTCCTAAAAAACCTAGCTCTCACCTATTGATACAAATGTATGAATTTTGCAGCACTTTGACACCATTGGCTCTGTTTTTCCTCCACCCAACAGTATGATGTCACTGACCAGGCCCACTTCCAGGCAGTTCCTTCTTGAGAGACTGCCACGAAACAATGAAGTGAGATCCTCAACATTGTAAGCATCCCCTGACTGCCTTCTCCTGCTGGTGATGTTCTGGAGAAACTCTTTTTGACTCCTAGGCCTTATGATGCTTCTGGATCAGGCTCTCTGTTGTCTTAGGGCTGCCAGTTCAAGTCAGTAAAAATTTTCTGCTTAGGTGATAATTAAATCAGCTGTAGATGGAAAGCTTCATGGATCTGGTACATATCTCCCAAAAATGTGATGGCAGAAATAGGACTAGAACCTTCCATTGAAGGGTCAGTGGAGCCAGGCTAATGACAGGTTATTGTCTCATTTTCCCGTCTGTCTGTGTCACTGTGAGTAGCATCACTACTGTCATAACTCTGACAGTAATAGTCAGCCCCATCCTCAGCCTGAGCCCCACTGATAGTCAGTGTGGCTGTGTTTTCAAGCTGGAGCCAGAGAATCTGTCAGGAACCCCTGAGGGCTGTTTGCTCTACTCATCAATGAGCAGTGTGGGGGTCTGGCCTGGTTTCTGCCTGTACCATATGTGAGCATAATATTCAGAGACTGTATCTCAAGAGCAGGTGATTGTGGCTGCCTGTCCTGCAGACACTGACACTAATGGTGGCTGTGTCAGGCTGAAAGAGGCCAGGGAACCTGCAAGAGATGGGGTGAGGGAGAAAGGATTGAGGATGCAGGACCTAATCCCAAGGGCCAGCCTAGACACTATACACATGGCCAGCTCAAGATTTGGGACAGAATCCAATCATTGTAGGTGGGGTTTCACCTAAGCCCAGAGATAGGCAGGTCACTTGTACACAGAAGGGAAGGAGCTGGCAATGTGTCCAGGCCATGTTGGTGATGTCCCAGAGCTCTGCCTGCTGAGATCCGCAGTATGGCTGGGTTCTTCAAGTTCCCTCTTATTAGTCTGAAATCTTAGGGGGCAGCAAGTGTTTCATGTTTATGCAAACTTTCTCCTCTCTTGAGGCTCATGACTGAAGGCACATGTGAAACATTATTGCCACCTGTCAGGGTCTATGTGTGGGAGGAGGAGCATGGACTGGACCCCAACTTCCTCCAGTTTCTTCTCCCCTGGACTCTGAGATCCTGAACAAAATCGTCTTCTATTATTGACCCTGAGATCACTGCCCCAGTCTGGGTCAGGGTTAGATTGTGTGCTGGACCCAGCCTAGCCCAGCGGATGTCCTTCCCGGAAGCTGGCCATGGCTGAAAGGTGCCCTGCTGAGAGGTCACTGCTGACATTTCTGTCAGCAGGAGGTGGATCATGCATGCTTCACGTTGTCCCTTTTGGACTTCCTGGGTCCTCTGGTGCACTTTTGTCCCATTCTTGTCATTTCACTGAAAGTGGGTGATGTGTCATTAGGATAGTTCAAAGCCTTCATGTATCACATCTGATTTTATAAACCACTTTGCAAGTTACAATTTAATGACAAATTCTAGAATTATTTCACATATGGTGATTTCTCCCCTTCGTTACATCCCTATTCTCACAGTATAGAGCAACAGGCTTTGCAAATTTATTCCCTTCTGTCTATATTTTCTCATCACTGTTTCGTGTAATTTTGTTAAAAGTTAGAAAATAGAGCTTCCCAAGAATTGCAATTAAACCTCCATAAACTCTTGGAAGCCCTGACCGCATGGATATTAAAAGTCTGAGCTCTGGAGGGTGGAGATTAGAGTTTCCTCCACCAATGAGGATCCTGTGACTGATGCAAGACAATCTAGTAGCCAGAGTTCTGATCCAAGGAAGATGAAATGGAGGACACTATTCAGAGTGTCTTCCATTAGACTCTGTATCTAAATACATGATCTGCAGACACTGGGCAGATGTGGGTGAAGTTTGGAGAAGACACGAGGAAGGAGTGGGCCTGACTCTCTGGGAGAGCCGAGCCCTCAAGCCACTTGAACTGTGAGGAATTGTGTCCTTTCAGAGACCAGGTTGTCTGAGCACGCATCCTGAGATCAAGGCTCAGGTCCTTGGATTCCCAAGTTCTCTCACTGATCTCTTTCTTAGATAACCTGGGCTTGAGGGTGACCCCTCCTTTGTATGAGCTGCCGAAGGTGGACTTAGGGACTTGGTTTTTCTACTGAAGTTTTGTGGTACATGTCCTCACTTCTCGTGGCACTTCCTTGTCTCAAAAGTATGCATGAGTCTGACTCTCCCAACGTGGTCATTATTGTCCCAAGGACTTTCCTGACTTCCAAGCTGAGGTCAGGAAGACAGCACTGTGCAGAAGGAGATAGTGGGCCTCATGAGGTAGCTTTTGAGGGCTCAGCATTCCTACAGAAAAACCTGGAACTCAAGGTGCTATTCTTAGTTACTTTTTACTGGTTTCTGAGATAAAATACCTGAAACCCAAAGTTGGGAAAGGAAAGCTTTATTTCTTACAGTTTTTGGAGTTTTCAGTGCGTACTCAGTGGGCTCCAAGGCAGGGTGGCATGGCTGGGCCCCAGTTCATAGTGACTGCAACCAGCAAGGCAGAAACCTGCAAAACAGCAAGACACACCTTCTTCCTGCCATTACATCACATCCTGACTCCTCCCTAGGCCAGTGCAGGGCTCATACCCCCAATCCAAGTGCTAGACAATAAACCAATCACAAATGCATAATGCAAATGCATGAGGCCTGTGGGTCCCCGACATAGACCAGGACAGTGTTTCGAGAAAGACATCCTAAACTGAGGCAAAATTTGAGATTTGTCTCAAGCAGCCATTACACGGGGTCTCTTTGAAAGCACATCTGAACCTGGATTTTATTTGATTTTTAATGATTGCTTTTATTTTAATCTGTGTTCAGTTTCACATTTTAACCACTTACTGTCATCCCTATGTCACTGAATTTCTTCAGTGTATTTTGAAGTTCATTGTATTTCCTTAAAACAGAGATTTTAAATTCTTTGTTAGACAGTTAATATTTTCCATCATTAGCATTACTCCTTGGCACCCCATCAGGCTCACTTAATGGTGTCATGTTTCTGTCATGGATCCCAGATCCTTGCAGGCATGTGTAGATATCTACACACTGAAGAAAGAGGGAATTGGGGCAGTCCATACTCTCTAGATTTGGAAATGTCCTTCAATAGTAAGCCTGTCTAGAAACTTTGGGCAACTCTTCTGGTGTTCCATAAGCTTGAGGCTCTTCATCTCTTGCCAAAGTAGGAGGAGACTAAATCTAGGGCTGCTGTATTTGGGCCAGCAGGGTTGAACTATATAAGCTTGGGGCCTCTGGGGCTGGAGCTGCACCAGACTGGAATCCCAACCTGCATAGACCTGCGGCAAACCTAATGCTTGGGCTTGAGATCTTCCAATTTTGCTGTAGTATTTGAAGACCAAAGGTGCTGTACTTGGGTTATGGTTCTGAGGGCTGGGATTTCTGTCCTTCTGACACTAGTTTTTCAGTTGTCTTCATTCCTACTTACAGAAAAGCAGGCAAATGCTGGGTGCTTCTAATCAGTCATTCTGAGTACCTTGTCTTTTTACATTTTGATTTGTGGCTACAATTATTGGTATGTTTCGAAATATTTTCCTGTGTTGAAATCAGTTTTTCTAGTTGTTAAATAGAGAATGCATGGTAAAATATGCTCTTTTACAAGAAACATGGAGGGCCAGGGAAATGTGATTTTCAACATTAGGTCTCAGAATTTTAATTTGCTTAGATTCAGAAACTGAAGGTCCTTACACCTCGATAGGGACAGCTGTGTTAGGAGAGGTGACCCCAGTGGTTTCTGTCACTGAAAATCAATGACCCCTTAGATGACACCACTGTCACCATATCAGTCTTTTTGCTGTCATTTTTATGTCATCTGAAACCCTTTGTTAGTCAAGTGAGTGTTTTTCTGTCCCTGTCTGGGCTGAAGTTTTGGTGAAACTGGATCTTCTGCTAATCAAGGCCTGCAGTTCTTGTTCCCAGGAAGCAGAATCAGCCCTTGCTGGGTCCTGTTTTTGCGTTTTGATGAAGACACAGGACCTTATAACATCTGAGTCAGTGACTCAAACCTAGGAATCTTTTTCTAAATAATTAGACTTAGGCATTTTATATCACTTAATTTTGATAAAATCAACAAAGTTCTCATGATTTGTCCAGACATTCTCATCTCATTGCAGGTAAAGCTGAGGTCCAGAGAGAGCCAGATACCAAGCAAACTGAGAATAGTAGTGTCAAGTCCCAGGCTGAGCCGGATAACACTGTATTCAGTGTTAGGCTCTTTAGGACACAGCAGGACCAGGACTCTGAGGAAAAATCGCAAGGGCCTGGTTGAGAGGAAGGGCTAAGTCCACCTAGCGCATGTCCATTATGGCCTGGTTGACCCTAAGCCTGTTCAGCCCGCAAGTGGTGTGTCTTTAGGGGCTGTGCCCAGGTAGACCTGGAGACCCTGTGGAGAATGGGGAGGCTGCTGTGCTGTGCAGTGCAGGGCTGGCTTTGTTCCTGCTGCTTCTTTCTGCAATGTTATCTGCTCTCCTTGGTCCTCAGCCGGAGAGTGTTAGATGTCTCATGGCCATCTCTACCATGTACTGCAGAGTCTTAGAATACCTCCAGGCCTGTGGGTTTAGAAGATTGCAGGATTCATTCTCAGGTATCCCACTAAGCGGCATGTGGAATTGAGCCTGGGTTAGTGCCTGTGAAAGACACCTCTGCATATTTTGAGGAAGAGAAGACAGGTCCAGGTCATAGTGGAGATACCCAAGATGTCTGACTCCTATATTTACAGACTGGCAGGGCTCCCTGCCCGCTATCATTATCCCAGGAAGGGTGAGGCTCTGGGATTAGTGATTAAAATTAAGTAGCTACAGCTCTAGGTGGCTCCAGAGGGGATTAAACGTAGAGAAAAGGGGAAGGACATGATGGGCCACTTAGATTGCATATCCATCCAGTGCCAGAGTTCTACTCACATAGCACAAGAGGCTTCCATCCTTCTCCTGCAGCTTCACAGCTGGTGGTTAAGATGTTAACATCTGGAGCACATATTCTGGGAGGTCCAATTGGACCCCAGGGCCACAATGACCATGCAGAGAACATGAGCTTTCTTCTGGGAAAACTGAACAAGTCCCCTACAGAACTCAGGACAATCCCCTGCACCTACTCTGCTCTGGAGGAAGTTGATTTCTCAGGGGGTTGCAATGGTATCTCCAAGGCTGCCATGCAATTGGGTAGGGTTAGAAGGTACTTGTCTGACCTCAAATTCAGGGGTTGGCATGGAGCAGGAAAAAGCGCCTGAGGGGAGGCTTTGGGACAGAGCAGAGGGAGTAAACTCCATGGAGATGAAGGAGACAATGAACATGATGGGAGAGAAGATGACCTTGTAGGTGGACAGGGAAGGCTTTGGTTGCTGCTGGAAATTGGAGTGGATGCCTGACCCTCATCTTTGTAGTTTGTGGCCCGGCTCAGAATGACTTGGATTTGAGAGACGCAATTATTCCCAACCTGTCTCCAACCTGAGCGATCATTTCAGGGGACTGTCACACTGGCATGTATATACACTGTGAACTGGTCTTTTATGGCTGAGCTGACCCATCACTTCTCAGACACAGTGTGTGTCTGTGTCCCTCTGTTCATGTGACACATATCCACATCTCCCTTTCCTGTGGTCACTGTCATTCTGTACTAAGTAATTTTTGTGCTAGGGACTGAATACTGTGTGTCTCTTTCAAAGTGACCAGGTCCAGAGCTACTTCTGGGACACCCTTCAGGGATATTAGAGACTGATGCTAACAACACCCTGAGAAGAAAATTGCAATATCATGGGACCGCAGGGTATTCCGGACACCGTATTAAAGCTGGGTGTTTACCTCATCACCCATCACAACCACTGTCACCACCATTACCATTATTATCAGGGTCTCTATTACAATTATTTTACCTCACTAAGCACATTTACAGTTCATGATGGAGACATCTGTATTAACCCACTGTAAAATTCTGATTAAATTGTGAATTGCCTTCTAGTCTCTCCTAGGAAAACACCCAACTCACTATTTCTTTAGCCTTTTTGGAGGATCTTCTCAAAAAAAGCACAGGACTCAAAGCACTGTTTCAGTTGATTCATCCCAGAATATTTCTTTAATTGAAAAACCTCTATTGTGCTTTTTATCGATAATTGAGAATTTCCGCAATTTCCCAGCAGGCAAAGTAAAATCCTAATTATCTTGCAAATTAGAGCACAGTAGAGTCAAGTGAAGTGTTGACTCGCTTATCCAGATGTCTACTCCATGGGCCTTTGGTTTAGGGCATGACCACAGTGGGGCATGGAGGACTCTGAGAGCTAAGTTCCAGAGCCTGTCTTGTGTTCTATTCAGCTCCCAAGTGTCCCCTCAATGGCCTGGTCACCAGTAAAAGCCTGCCTCAGCCAGTAGGTTGTGGTGTGCCTGGGGCTGCACTCAGGTGAGAGCTGCGGAGCGTGTGGGAGTGGGGAGGCTGCTGTGCTGTGCTGTGCTGTGCTGTGCTGTGCCATGCAGGGCCAGCCTAGCTCCTGCTGCTTCTCTCTGTACTGTTTGCCAATCTCTTATGTCATTGTTAGGATTGGGGTTTCCCCCAGGAGGCTCATTTGTTTGGAAGGTGATTAGCTCACGAGAACACTGTGCTCATCAGTGCAGTCACATCTTAGTGAGTTCAGTAGCTGGCTGTGGTATTGAAAGATGGGGCTTGGTTTGCGGAGGGTCAATGTTGTTATGACCTGGAGGGGTCATTCTTGTCTCCAGCCTCTCCCCTCTTTTGATGCTTCCTGGTGGTATTGGTAGAGAAGCTTTCTGTTACCATGCCCCTGTACCGTGTGGCTCTGTCCTGGATCCAACTGAGTTTGGACTGGAGCCCCTGGCAACTCTGTGCCAAACAAGCCTCCCTTTGTTTACACTGCAGGAGTCTTGTGTTTTGTCCCAGTTTTGGGAAGGTAGAAAATACACACTCTTCCCTGATCAAGTTGATAACAGGTGTCATAGTGCTACTTTTCTTTAAAGGAAAAAAATCCAATAAGACAATGATGCAAAATTTCAAAACAAGATTCTAGGAGAGCAATAATGGTTAGTACAGTATGTATTGTTATGTTCAGAATAGTTGCTCATAATAAAAGATGTAGGCATGAAAATTGATCAAACAATATGGGTAAAATCCATTTTTTTCTTTGCACTAATAACTATCTTACCTTATATACCTTAACTATCTTACTATTATATATATATATATATACATATATGTATATCAATAAATGTATTTATTTGTTATGTGTTTCTTTATAGAATTTATATTTATTTTTTCCCATCTTTTCTTCTTTCTTTCACCTCAGTTCCCTTCATTTTGAACATTTTCTTTCCATTTCATAATAGCTATTGTACATTTTGGATCTTATTTACTCTTTCAACTTCCTACACAATGGAGAATATGTGATGTTGACACATATGAGTTTCATTTATTTCACTTCTGAGTATGGTGTCCAGTTGCATCCATTTTCCTAAAAATGTCTCAAGGGTTTCCTTCTTTATAGCTGAGTATTACTCCATTGTATAAAAATACATCTCTTTTTAAAATCCATTTCCTGATTGATGAGCATCTGGTTTGCTTCCAATGTTTAGCTGTTACAAAGTGTGTGGCTATAAACATGGGTTCACACATATCGCTGTAGTATGATGTTTTCAGTTCTTCTGGGAAAATACCCAGAAGAGGAAGAGTTGAGTTGAATGGGAACTCTAATCCCAGGTTTCTGAGGAATCTCCACACCGATTTCCGCAGTCGTTCCCCTAGTCTATGATCCCACCAGCAGTGGAGAAGGGTTTCTTTTCCCACATACCCTCTTCAGTACTTGGTATTGGTTGATTTCATGATGGTAACCATTGTTTCTGGGATGAGACAGAACCTCAGTGTTGTTTTAATTTGCATTCTTACATTACCAATGATGCTGAAATTTCTAAATGTATTTATTTGCTCTTTGTATTTCTTCATCTGAGAAGCATGTGTTCGTCTCAGCTGCCTATTGTTTGAATTGGGTCTTTGAATTTGGGAGGTCTGATATTTTTCAGTTCTTCATACATGCTGGATAGTGGTCCTTTGTCTGAGGGGTAGTTGGCTAAGATTTTTTCACACTGCGTGGCTTGTCTTTTCACTCTGTTGGTGATTTCTTTTGATGTGCAAGAGCTTTTTCATTTGATGAGATCCCAGTTTTCATTCTATGAAGTGCTTTCCATGCTCTTTGGGTTTTGTTGTTGAAATATTTGCTCATTCCCATGACTTCAAGACTTATACCTACTTTCTCTTTCAGTAGATCTGGTGTTACTGTTTTAATATTTAAATCTTTGGTCCAGATTGACTTTAGTTTAATTCATGGTATTTCTTTACTAAATATTTGTT